CGCCAAGTTTCCCTCCCAACAGTCCCTCAGCCGCGCCCAGGTCCCTCTGGCCTGTGTCGTTCGTGCCTGACGGCCTTGGCGCATCTGGTGGCGCTGCTGCAGGTGTTGCTATGGCTGAAGGCGCTGGCGTGATAGTAGCGCCATTTCTGCTCGCCGGCGTGTGCGCACCTGCTCCGCTGCCTATCTCTCCGTCAAATCCCTCTCCTGATGCCGTCCAGCCGTCACCCCCAGCTCCTGAGTCGTGTGAGCGCTCAGAAGCTGCGAATTCTGCTTCTTCCATTCTCTCCTGCCGCCCCTCCAAATTCCCCTCCACAGCTTCCCCCTCGCTGTTCGTGAGCTGCGCTTGCCTGGCGCGCAGCAGGTCCCGTGTCAGCGTCGCAGTGAAAGCGGCGCCAAGGCGCCTCCTGACCGTTTTCAGTGGGGAATGCAGTGGGCGGCCTTGGCGTGTGTTTGATCGCGTGCCTAGGTAAACCGCGGTCATACTAGTTGCCGGCCTCCGGTTTCTTCGCTCGATTTGCTGTTCTTCGAGCGGCGTAGTTTAGGGTTTATTTAAAATAAAAAAACCTAGCTGCAGCAACTAGCTTGGCCGCGCCAGAGCTGGCGCGGCTCGAGTTTCCTAAGTAGCGCGAAGTAGGGAGCGTGAGGAGGAGGTGGGTGTCGAGGGGAATTAGAGGGAGGGCTGGGGTGGGTCTCGATGTTGAAAAAAAAAAAAAAAAAAAAAAAAAAAAAAAAAAAAAAAACAAAAAAAAAACAAACAAAAGGCCCCCCCGAAGCGCGCGCGCTGAAATGCGCGCTTCGGGTGGTCAAGATTGAGAAATGGGGGGCGAAAAAAACTAAGTTTGACTTGGCGAGAAAAAAATCCTCGCCAAGGAGAGACTCGCCAGTCGAAGCTGCGGGTGCGGTTAAGTGCGGTGACGCGACTATGGTCGCGAATTTCTCCGTGAGATAGGCGATTAAAGTCCTATTTCTAACCTTTCTTTCCGTTTTCAAGCTAAGAAATCGCTCTAGGGCTGTTAAAAAAAACGAGGCAAATGCATTTCGGCCAGGTGATGGCCATCCTCAGTGCTAACAGCATCTAGAGTGGCGAGATCAAACCTAAAAGGGGAAGAGAGGCTTGTGAGAGAAGGCCCCATCCCCTGTAGTAGCACCCAACAGAAAGTGTACAACACCTAAAACTAATCTAAACATTTATAAAAATGACATATTCATCTATATAAATATTTAGGTAGTTCTTCGGCGCCGCTGGGAAATAAAAATATATTTCCTTTGTTCCTGTAGCGTGCTCTTGGGGAGCTGGGTCCTGCGGGGTGGTGAAATACATGCAACGAATATGGCGGACGGCGTGGAAAGCACTAGGCAAGGAAAAACAGGAGGTAATCGCAGGGTGAAGATAGATATGCGTGGCTTATCATTTTTGAATGAATGTAAACCCGCCCAGGCAACCGGCATACTGTAGGCGTTCTGTCGTGAAAGTGCTATTCCCGTGCATTGCTGTGCTTGTGCGCCAGCGTGTCTACTTGTGTGATGCGTCGTGCTGGGGAATGCGCAGTGTTGGACATGCGATGCATATGAAGCAGTATGTGGCTATCAGCGCGAGAGCGGTGTTGCGGTCTGTGCACTCGTGCATAGGGGATGTGGGGGGTGTGATGTGTTATGTGTGTTTGGTGTGGAAGTATGCGTGAGAAGAGAAGAGGAGTGGGGATTTGGGGACAAAGGGGCAGAAGGAGGGATGAGACAAAGAGATAAGTGATGAGACTGCTGTTGGTTCTTGATTGGAGCTGCAGGGGCAGGTGGAGGGGGTGAGACGTAGGGATGGTGAGATTATTTTTAGAGGGAAGTGGGGAGCGCATAGCGTGGGGGGGAGAGGGAGGGGTGCCTGGTGGAGAGAAGCGGGGGGGGTTTTCGGGGGGGGCGCAGCCCCCCCCCGATTGTTTGAAATGCAGTGTGAGAGAACAACATCAGGGGAAAGCCACGAACAGGGGCGAGCGCAGCAACGCTATGCGACAGAGTCCATTGGGGTCGTTCATGTGGCACTACACTCGGAAGTATCTCGAGCGTCGGCACTCGTGAACGCAGCTCGGACAAGCATATTCCTTAGCTTAGGTGCTGCACGGAAGCTGAGGAAAGGCTGTCTCGGGCAGAGCGTCTCTAGGGTTGCCTTACTCGTCTCGGACCGGAGTAGGGACCTCACCTGTGGGTGCTCGAGACTAGGGTGGTACTCGAGCACAAAAGGCAGTACTCTGCCGTCACGGTGCTTACCCTTCTCTGATCGTTGCAGGAGTGTTTCCCTGTCGCTGTACTGTACCTCGTCAAAAATTTGCTGGATGAAGTTCGAGTCGTAGCCGCGTGCTCGTAGACGCACTGCGAAAGAGGATTTCATCTGTTGGAAGCCCTCCTCTGACGACTCCCGCAGGAGGTAGCGGTACAGCTCACCAATGATGAATCCTCGTTTGCAGTGTCGCGGGTGTGCCGATCGGAAAGGGAAGTACTGATAGACGTTCAGCGGTTTCTGGTACACTGAGGTGTCCAGAAAACCGCCTCTCACGTCTTCCTTTCTCGTTGCTTCCCAAAGCTTACCTTTGCTGAAGGTGATGTCGAGTAGCGTAAACGATGTGGCACTGACCTCGGTGGTGATGCGAATGCCGTCCATGAGGCTGTTGTAACCCTCTATCCATTGGTGTAGTTCTCCTAGCGATCCGGTCCAGACTACCAATCCGTCGTCGATGTAGCGTCTGTGCAGTAGCACATGCCCTGACAGGGATGGGTGTAGTTCCTCCATGCGAGCGTCTAGCCAGCTCATAAAAAGAACTGCATAGATCACAGCAACCGGAGTACCCATGGCTGTACCTCGGATCTGTCGGTAGAACTTCCCATCGAATTGTAGGTGATTTTGTGTCATGACTAGCTCCAGCAGCTCACAGCACGCACTGAGCTGCTTGGCGGTACCCATCTCCGGCCAAACTGGGTAGCTGTGGACGTGTACGAATCTGTCTTTTGTTTCTCGGATGGCGGCCAAGCCTTGCTGGAGCGGGATCGACGGGTAGAGGCTCTCCACGTCGTACGTGAGGAAGATGGCATGCTCGGGTATGGGGAGGGCACGAAGTGTGTGTAGTAGGGTGATTGAGTCTGGTAGATGGGCTGGTGCCAGGGCCAACAACGGGCGCAGGTAGTGATCGAGCACCTGGCTGGCGTGCTCAAAGATCCAAAGGGTAGATGAGCAAATCGGTCTCCCCTTGACAGGGTCTTTATGCAGTTTAGGCAGCAGGTAGAATCTGCACACCCGAAACTGCTCAGGGTGTATGTCCGTGTGATCCTCACAGTCTGCTTCTGTGCGTCGCTCAACCCTTGGTTGCAGGATGTACTCGATGGTTTCCTTAGGAAACCTATCCTTGTACCTCGAGCACCAAGTGTTGAGGTCCCTGCACAGGTCGTCCATGGGTACCGCTGCGACCTCTCTGTAGGTTTTGGTGTCGGATAACTGCCTGAGTGCCTCTGCTCGATACCACGAGGTATCTAGGAGGGCGAGTCCTAGATTCTTATCAGCTGGCTTTACCACCACCTCTTTATTCTTACCCAACTTTTTTAGGCACCGTAACGTTTGCTCACTCATGTTCCTGCGTGCGTTGCGCGTCATTAGTGGGAGGCGTTCGGTAACGTTCCTTCCCACCTCAGCGATGTATCGCTCTACAGGGGGGGGAGCAGGGTTGGGCATCCAGGATGGGTTGCGAATACGAAAGCGTGGGGCTGGCCTGTCAGACGCGAACTGTGCGGTAAGTCTCACTGCTCTCGTGAATCTCGAGAGGGCGCTCATAACTGTTTGTTCTGTGGGGGGTGATGGGGTTGGGATGAAAGAGAGTCCTAGGCTTAGCCCCTCGAGCTCTGTGCGCGAGAGGGTGAGTGCGGATCTGTTGTGAATGAATTTAGAGTTTAGTTCGTCCTGTAGCATAATCTGCGGTGTTCGAAGGAGGCGTTTTTGGGTTGGGGTCAGCAGGGTCGAGGTGTGCTTGCGTCTAGGCCTCGAGCGGGGTCGTTTATATGGACTGGTCTTACTCACCTGCTGGTTGGGGCTATTTGCTGCCCCTGCAGAATATGTTGTGGAGGGCAGGGTGTTAGAGGTAGTGACGCCAGAGGATGTACCCTGAGAGATGCTGTGCTGGTTTGTTGTGCGTGGTGATTTTGGGGTTGGGTCGGTTTGTCGGTGGGGGGTGTGCGGTGGTATTTCTACCTGGTTGTGCTGTGCATTTGAGGTAGGTTGGGTCATGCGGGCGTACCTTTGGTGAGGGTAGCTGGGCGTTGATGTGCGTAGACGTGTTGCTTGTTGCATGTTGTTCTGTGAGGGGTGGGGGGGGGTCGCTAGTTTAAAAAATACATTGGTAGGGTATGGGGAACAGAGGTGTTGTTGGGAGTAGAGAGTGCCCCCACAACCTGGGGCGGTCCAGCTCTCCCTGTCGCTTGGGTTGCTTGAAGTCCTTGGGTGACCTGCTGGATAGGGGGGGCGTAAGGCATGTATGCGAATGTCTGTGGTGCGGGTGTTGATGACATGACCGATATGTTCGAGAGTGCCGGCTGCGTTGGTGCCTGTGGGGGCAGAGAGGGGATGAAATTCTGAGAGAAGAAGAGGGGTTGCGTGTGGGGCAGGATGTGGCTGCCACTTGCAAAGGTGGGGTGCTGGGGTGTGAAGGGGTATGGGTGGTACATGTTGTGCGGTGCTGGGGCTGCCATGACGGTGTATGCGGGGAATGTTGCTGGCGTGAATGCTTGCGGCGCTTGTTGGGCAGGGGTGTTAACTTGTTGTGCGACTTGTGTCTGTGCTTCTAGTGCGTGGTTACCCGTGTCATTCGTCTGCTGTGCTGTGCGTTCGGTTGCATGTTCGGTGTCCGGTGGCTGTTCGGTCTGTGCTGGCTGCCCTTGACCCAACTGTGTGCTTCCCGGCAGTTCCAACTGCGTGTCCCTCCGTTGCTCTGTCCCTTCCCTTCGTCCCCCCTGTTGCGCTCGTGCCGATGCCCTCTGTGCTGTGTTCGTATCTGCGCGTGCTGCTGGCCGTCCGTATTGCGCTGGGAGCTGTGGTGCAATGTGGAGTGCGTACTGTTGCTGCCACGGTGTCGGTTGTGCGGTGTGGGCTGTTCCCCAGTGAAGCTGCCTGGGCAGGTTTACCTTTAGCCCACGCATAGCTACCTTCACCGCTGCAGCAGTCTTGGCGAGTGCTGCAGACGGCTGCGAGGTCCCTGCTGTAGCCTGCCAGCGCCCTCCTCTTCGTGTGCCCTCCCCGTGCCGTGGGATTGTCGCCACCGCTGAGGGGAGTGCCGATCTCGCCACGGTCACTCTCTGGGCCGCTGCTGTGCCGCCTGCTGCTGGTGCCTGGGTCGTGTTGGCTGCTGCCTGCGTGGCCCTTGCTCCGGTCGTTGCTGCTGTAGTCATTGCTGTCGGTGCTGCTGCTGCACTGGCTGCTGCTGGTGCCGCAGCTGTGTTAGCTGCTGCTGGTGTAGCTGCTGCCCCGGCCGCTGCTAGGGTGGCTGTTGCACTAGCCGTTGCTGGTTGTGTCCCTGCAGCGGCTACTGCTGTAGTCACTGCTGCATCTGTAGCAACCGTTGGCCTGCCGCCAGCCCTTACTGCCGCCTGCCCCCCACCCTCTCCCGTTTCCTCTCCACTCCCTGCTGCTGCTGAGGCAGCCGCCGTACCTCCCGTGGCTCCCTCTGCCCCCGTTTTGGCGGTTTGCTGGTCGGTAGCTTTGGTACGGTTTCTCTTCTTCCTTGCTTCTCGTTGGCGTCGGCGCCTCCTCTGCCGTGCGGACTGCCCTGAGTCTGGTTCACCCTTGCTGTCTGGCTGGCGGTCCTCCAGGGCCTTAAGTCGCTGCTGCAGGGGTTCCAGGCCCTTGTTCATCACTACCTGCACCAGCTCCAGTAGGCTCGTTGAGGGGCTGGTTTGAATGTCTTCCAGCCGTGCCTGTTCAGCCTGCGCTCTCTCTCTCTTTGCTGCCACCTTAGCCCTTGCTCCGCGGCTGTCCTGTACCCACACCGCATGGAACATTAGCTCCCTAGCTATGCCCCGTGCGAGGTAGTCGGCAGCCAGCTCCTCCAGGTAGCCGTCGGCAGCAGGGGTACCGGCTGCAGATCGACGCTCGAAGGCCTCTAGAATTTTCTCGAGGAACCCTTCAAAGTGCGTGTGTGTTCTCGGCTCCCAGATTCCTGCTGCCCTCTCCCAAAAAGCTTTCTCTTTCTCCTTATAAACTAGCAGCGTCGCCTGGGCTTTGGTCTTGAAGGTTTTAACCTCCTCTCCAAGCGCGTGATTCAGCTGCTCCTGTAACACAAGTTCGGTTAGCTGAAGCTTAGGGGTGGAGAAGCGTAGAGCGTGAGAGACCTCTCCCTTCCGGAGCTGCTGCTGAAGCTCCCCGAGGCCCGTTGCCACTTTGCTGAAGGTGCGGAGGCATTTTCTGAATGAGATCAACTCTTCCTCGAGTATCTTGCTCATGACTGTAGGCATGGTAGTGAAGTGTGTGGATGCGGGAGGTTCTGGTGGTTTTTTGTCTAACAGTAACGGCTGCATGTTGTCAATGAGCTGGAACCAGACGGCAGGGAGGTCCTCGCCTTCCGGTAGCCTGTTCGCTGCTTCCAGCCCCCTCATACCGAGTTCCTCTCCTTTCATAATGGCAGCTGCCGCCCTGCCGATGTCCTTGTGGGTCAGCCTTACTTGCTCAAAGTTCGGCTGGCTCATTGGGCTCGTCGGTGGCTCTGCCTCGTCATCCCTAAAGGGGGCTAGCTCAGACGGGCATCGGATGATGATAGGTGCCTCCTCACTGTTGTCATGCCGCTGAGGCGGCTGCTGCTGCTGCTGCTGCCGCTGCTGCTGCCGCTGCTGTTGTTGCTGGTTCGGCTCCTGTTGCTCACACTCCTGCTGTTGGTGCTGCTGCTGCTGCTCCTGCTGCTGCTCCTGCTGTTGCTGCAGCTGCTGCTGCTGCTGCTGCTGCTGCTGCTGCTGCTGCTGCTGCTGCTGCTGCTGCTGCTGCTGCTGCTGCTGCTGCTGCTGCTGATGTTGCTGCTGCTGCTGCCGCTGTTGTTGATGTTGTTGCTGCTGCTGCTGCTGCAGCTGTTGCTGTAGCTGCTGCTGCTGTTGCTGTTGTTGCCGCTGCTGCATCTGCTGCTGCTGCTGTTGTTGCTGTAGCTGTTCTTGCTCCTGTTGCAGGTGTCCTAGTTCCTGCTGCTCCCCCGCCTGCTTGTGTTGCTGCTGTTGCTGGAACTGTCGCTGCTGCTGCTGCTGCTGCTGCTGCTGCTGCTGCTGCTGCTGCTGCTGTTGTTGCTGCTGCTGCTGCTGCCGCTGCAGTTGTTCCTGGTCTTGTTGCAGCAGTATTTGTTCCCGCTGTCCTTCCGCCTGCCTTGGCTGCTGCTGCTGCTGCTGCTGCTGCTGCTGCTGCTGCTGCTGCTGCTGCTGCTGCTGCTGCTGCTGTCGCTGCTGCTGCTGCTGCTGCTGCTGCTGCTGCTGCTGCTGCTGCTGCTGCTGCTGCTGCTGCTGCTGCTGCTGCTGCTGCTGTTGCTGCTGCTCCTCCTGATTTTGTTCCTGCTGCTGTTGCTGCTGATCCTGCTGCTCCTGTGGTTGTTGTTCGTGTGGTTGTTGCTGCGGTCGTTGTGTCTGTTGTTGCTGCTGATGGTGGCTTTGTCTGAGGGTCATCGAATCAGTAGGTGCCAGAGTGGGTGCTGTTCTTTCAGAGGGCTGTTCTTCTGTGCTTTGGCAGGCAAGTAGGAGGTCATTAACGAGGCTGCTTGTGACAACGAATACCTCTCCCAATTTCATCGAGGTCGGCTCCAGCGGTCCTGCTCTAACTTCTCTAGCACTCACCCTTGTTACAGTGGGGTGTTCTGCCGCACGTGTAGCAGTTCCGGTGTTGGTCCCTGCTGCCTTGCCTCCCTCCTCCCTGTTCCTTTTGGCGTTTATTGCTGCTGATATAGGTGCTACAGTTCTCTGTGCTGGGCCGGCTGCATATGTCCCCGTCACCACTTCCCTATCTTTACCCCCTCTGCCCCTCAGTGCTGCAGCTGCAGCGGGGCGCTGTTCATTCCGTGCTTCCCCTGCCGCATCCGTACCCGTATCCCCCGCCCCCTTCAAACCTCCCCTACCGTCGTTCCCAGCCGTCTGCACGAGTAGGCTGCTTGTGCTTCCCACCTGTTGCATTCCCGGCATCGGGCTGAAGGGTAGGGTTGTCGCCGGAGCCTCTGGGCACGGCGATGGGGCAGTAGGAGTCGGTGCATGGGCGAGTGGAGATGCCGATGCTGGATGTGATTCTTTTGGAGGGGAGCTTGCTGAGGAGATTACATTGAGAACAGCCGTAGCTCCTCTGATAGTCTCGGTGACAAGGGCCTGTAGCCAGCCTTCCTGTGTACCCTGCTCCACGCTCTTGTTCGGCTCAGTTTGGGCTGTTGAGGCGGGATTAGAAGTAGGAGCGGCGGTTGGTGGTCGTATTTGTAGCTGGGCTGTAGGTTGTGGCGGCGCTGTGGTCACTTGCAGATTGGCCTGCAGTTGCTCGGACTGCTGCCTTCCCGTTAGTGTCTGTGAGCTGGTAGGTGGTGGCTGAGTTGGCGGCGGTTTGGTTGACTGGGTGCCTGGGGTGTCGGGCCGTTTGTAGCTGAAAGTGAGAGTGCCAACCCCTCTGGTGGCCTTTACTGGCGCGGTTTTTGGTGATGCCAAGGTCGCTGCGCCTGCAGGCTCCTCGTCCGAGTGGGACGCCCCTGCTGCTGGTGCGGTTGACGGTGCCGCAGTCACTGTCGTCGCCGCTGCAGGTGTTACTGCTGCTGCTGCCTGTGTGATTCTACCTGCAGCTGCGCTGTCCGTGTTCATTGGCGTCACAGCGGTTCCAGGTGAAGGTGCCGTTGCTGCAGTGGCGTCACGAGCGTGTGTGCCTGCTTCCCCGCCAAGTTTCCCTCCCAACAGTCCCTCAGCCGCGCCCAGGTCCCTCTGGCCTGTGTCGTTCGTGCCTGACGGCCTTGGCGCATCTGGTGGCGCTGCTGCAGGTGTTGCTATGGCTGAAGGCGCTGGCGTGATAGTAGCGCCATTTCTGCTCGCCGGCGTGTGCGCACCTGCTCCGCTGCCTATCTCTCCGTCAAATCCCTCTCCTGATGCCGTCCAGCCGTCACCCCCAGCTCCTGAGTCGTGTGAGCGCTCAGAAGCTGCGAATTCTGCTTCTTCCATTCTCTCCTGCCGCCCCTCCAAATTCCCCTCCACAGCTTCCCCCTCGCTGTTCGTGAGCTGCGCTTGCCTGGCGCGCAGCAGGTCCCGTGTCAGCGTCGCAGTGAAAGCGGCGCCAAGGCGCCTCCTGACCGTTTTCAGTGGGGAATGCAGTGGGCGGCCTTGGCGTGTGTTTGATCGCGTGCCTAGGTAAACCGCGGTCATACTAGTTGCCGGCCTCCGGTTTCTTCGCTCGATTTGCTGTTCTTCGAGCGGCGTAGTTTAGGGTTTATTTAAAATAAAAAAACCTAGCTGCAGCAACTAGCTTGGCCGCGCCAGAGCTGGCGCGGCTCGAGTTTCCTAAGTAGCGCGAAGTAGGGAGCGTGAGGAGGAGGTGGGTGTCGAGGGGAATTAGAGGGAGGGCTGGGGTGGGTCTCGATGTTGAAAAAAAAAAAAAAAAAAAAAAAAAAAAAAAAAAAAAAAACAAAAAAAAAACAAACAAAAGGCCCCCCCGAAGCGCGCGCGCTGAAATGCGCGCTTCGGGTGGTCAAGATTGAGAAATGGGGGGCGAAAAAAACTAAGTTTGACTTGGCGAGAAAAAAATCCTCGCCAAGGAGAGACTCGCCAGTCGAAGCTGCGGGTGCGGTTAAGTGCGGTGACGCGACTATGGTCGCGAATTTCTCCGTGAGATAGGCGATTAAAGTCCTATTTCTAACCTTTCTTTCCGTTTTCAAGCTAAGAAATCGCTCTAGGGCTGTTAAAAAAAACGAGGCAAATGCATTTCGGCCAGGTGATGGCCATCCTCAGTGCTAACAGCATCTAGAGTGGCGAGATCAAACCTAAAAGGGGAAGAGAGGCTTGTGAGAGAAGGCCCCATCCCCTGTAGTAGCACCCAACAGAAAGTGTACAACACCTAAAACTAATCTAAACATTTATAAAAATGACATATTCATCTATATAAATATTTAGGTAGTTCTTCGGCGCCGCTGGGAAATAAAAATATATTTCCTTTGTTCCTGTAGCGTGCTCTTGGGGAGCTGGGTCCTGCGGGGTGGTGAAATACATGCAACGAATATGGCGGACGGCGTGGAAAGCACTAGGCAAGGAAAAACAGGAGGTAATCGCAGGGTGAAGATAGATATGCGTGGCTTATCATTTTTGAATGAATGTAAACCCGCCCAGGCAACCGGCATACTGTAGGCGTTCTGTCGTGAAAGTGCTATTCCCGTGCATTGCTGTGCTTGTGCGCCAGCGTGTCTACTTGTGTGATGCGTCGTGCTGGGGAATGCGCAGTGTTGGACATGCGATGCATATGAAGCAGTATGTGGCTATCAGCGCGAGAGCGGTGTTGCGGTCTGTGCACTCGTGCATAGGGGATGTGGGGGGTGTGATGTGTTATGTGTGTTTGGTGTGGAAGTATGCGTGAGAAGAGAAGAGGAGTGGGGATTTGGGGACAAAGGGGCAGAAGGAGGGATGAGACAAAGAGATAAGTGATGAGACTGCTGTTGGTTCTTGATTGGAGCTGCAGGGGCAGGTGGAGGGGGTGAGACGTAGGGATGGTGAGATTATTTTTAGAGGGAAGTGGGGAGCGCATAGCGTGGGGGGGAGAGGGAGGGGTGCCTGGTGGAGAGAAGCGGGGGGGGTTTTCGGGGGGGGCGCAGCCCCCCCCCGATTGTTTGAAATGCAGTGTGAGAGAACAACATCAGGGGAAAGCCACGAACAGGGGCGAGCGCAGCAACGCTATGCGACAGAGTCCATTGGGGTCGTTCATGTGGCACTACACTCGGAAGTATCTCGAGCGTCGGCACTCGTGAACGCAGCTCGGACAAGCATATTCCTTAGCTTAGGTGCTGCACGGAAGCTGAGGAAAGGCTGTCTCGGGCAGAGCGTCTCTAGGGTTGCCTTACTCGTCTCGGACCGGAGTAGGGACCTCACCTGTGGGTGCTCGAGACTAGGGTGGTACTCGAGCACAAAAGGCAGTACTCTGCCGTCACGGTGCTTACCCTTCTCTGATCGTTGCAGGAGTGTTTCCCTGTCGCTGTACTGTACCTCGTCAAAAATTTGCTGGATGAAGTTCGAGTCGTAGCCGCGTGCTCGTAGACGCACTGCGAAAGAGGATTTCATCTGTTGGAAGCCCTCCTCTGACGACTCCCGCAGGAGGTAGCGGTACAGCTCACCAATGATGAATCCTCGTTTGCAGTGTCGCGGGTGTGCCGATCGGAAAGGGAAGTACTGATAGACGTTCAGCGGTTTCTGGTACACTGAGGTGTCCAGAAAACCGCCTCTCACGTCTTCCTTTCTCGTTGCTTCCCAAAGCTTACCTTTGCTGAAGGTGATGTCGAGTAGCGTAAACGATGTGGCACTGACCTCGGTGGTGATGCGAATGCCGTCCATGAGGCTGTTGTAACCCTCTATCCATTGGTGTAGTTCTCCTAGCGATCCGGTCCAGACTACCAATCCGTCGTCGATGTAGCGTCTGTGCAGTAGCACATGCCCTGACAGGGATGGGTGTAGTTCCTCCATGCGAGCGTCTAGCCAGCTCATAAAAAGAACTGCATAGATCACAGCAACCGGAGTACCCATGGCTGTACCTCGGATCTGTCGGTAGAACTTCCCATCGAATTGTAGGTGATTTTGTGTCATGACTAGCTCCAGCAGCTCACAGCACGCACTGAGCTGCTTGGCGGTACCCATCTCCGGCCAAACTGGGTAGCTGTGGACGTGTACGAATCTGTCTTTTGTTTCTCGGATGGCGGCCAAGCCTTGCTGGAGCGGGATCGACGGGTAGAGGCTCTCCACGTCGTACGTGAGGAAGATGGCATGCTCGGGTATGGGGAGGGCACGAAGTGTGTGTAGTAGGGTGATTGAGTCTGGTAGATGGGCTGGTGCCAGGGCCAACAACGGGCGCAGGTAGTGATCGAGCACCTGGCTGGCGTGCTCAAAGATCCAAAGGGTAGATGAGCAAATCGGTCTCCCCTTGACAGGGTCTTTATGCAGTTTAGGCAGCAGGTAGAATCTGCACACCCGAAACTGCTCAGGGTGTATGTCCGTGTGATCCTCACAGTCTGCTTCTGTGCGTCGCTCAACCCTTGGTTGCAGGATGTACTCGATGGTTTCCTTAGGAAACCTATCCTTGTACCTCGAGCACCAAGTGTTGAGGTCCCTGCACAGGTCGTCCATGGGTACCGCTGCGACCTCTCTGTAGGTTTTGGTGTCGGATAACTGCCTGAGTGCCTCTGCTCGATACCACGAGGTATCTAGGAGGGCGAGTCCTAGATTCTTATCAGCTGGCTTTACCACCACCTCTTTATTCTTACCCAACTTTTTTAGGCACCGTAACGTTTGCTCACTCATGTTCCTGCGTGCGTTGCGCGTCATTAGTGGGAGGCGTTCGGTAACGTTCCTTCCCACCTCAGCGATGTATCGCTCTACAGGGGGGGGAGCAGGGTTGGGCATCCAGGATGGGTTGCGAATACGAAAGCGTGGGGCTGGCCTGTCAGACGCGAACTGTGCGGTAAGTCTCACTGCTCTCGTGAATCTCGAGAGGGCGCTCATAACTGTTTGTTCTGTGGGGGGTGATGGGGTTGGGATGAAAGAGAGTCCTAGGCTTAGCCCCTCGAGCTCTGTGCGCGAGAGGGTGAGTGCGGATCTGTTGTGAATGAATTTAGAGTTTAGTTCGTCCTGTAGCATAATCTGCGGTGTTCGAAGGAGGCGTTTTTGGGTTGGGGTCAGCAGGGTCGAGGTGTGCTTGCGTCTAGGCCTCGAGCGGGGTCGTTTATATGGACTGGTCTTACTCACCTGCTGGTTGGGGCTATTTGCTGCCCCTGCAGAATATGTTGTGGAGGGCAGGGTGTTAGAGGTAGTGACGCCAGAGGATGTACCCTGAGAGATGCTGTGCTGGTTTGTTGTGCGTGGTGATTTTGGGGTTGGGTCGGTTTGTCGGTGGGGGGTGTGCGGTGGTATTTCTACCTGGTTGTGCTGTGCATTTGAGGTAGGTTGGGTCATGCGGGCGTACCTTTGGTGAGGGTAGCTGGGCGTTGATGTGCGTAGACGTGTTGCTTGTTGCATGTTGTTCTGTGAGGGGTGGGGGGGGGTCGCTAGTTTAAAAAATACATTGGTAGGGTATGGGGAACAGAGGTGTTGTTGGGAGTAGAGAGTGCCCCCACAACCTGGGGCGGTCCAGCTCTCCCTGTCGCTTGGGTTGCTTGAAGTCCTTGGGTGACCTGCTGGATAGGGGGGGCGTAAGGCATGTATGCGAATGTCTGTGGTGCGGGTGTTGATGACATGACCGATATGTTCGAGAGTGCCGGCTGCGTTGGTGCCTGTGGGGGCAGAGAGGGGATGAAATTCTGAGAGAAGAAGAGGGGTTGCGTGTGGGGCAGGATGTGGCTGCCACTTGCAAAGGTGGGGTGCTGGGGTGTGAAGGGGTATGGGTGGTACATGTTGTGCGGTGCTGGGGCTGCCATGACGGTGTATGCGGGGAATGTTGCTGGCGTGAATGCTTGCGGCGCTTGTTGGGCAGGGGTGTTAACTTGTTGTGCGACTTGTGTCTGTGCTTCTAGTGCGTGGTTACCCGTGTCATTCGTCTGCTGTGCTGTGCGTTCGGTTGCATGTTCGGTGTCCGGTGGCTGTTCGGTCTGTGCTGGCTGCCCTTGACCCAACTGTGTGCTTCCCGGCAGTTCCAACTGCGTGTCCCTCCGTTGCTCTGTCCCTTCCCTTCGTCCCCCCTGTTGCGCTCGTGCCGATGCCCTCTGTGCTGTGTTCGTATCTGCGCGTGCTGCTGGCCGTCCGTATTGCGCTGGGAGCTGTGGTGCAATGTGGAGTGCGTACTGTTGCTGCCACGGTGTCGGTTGTGCGGTGTGGGCTGTTCCCCAGTGAAGCTGCCTGGGCAGGTTTACCTTTAGCCCACGCATAGCTACCTTCACCGCTGCAGCAGTCTTGGCGAGTGCTGCAGACGGCTGCGAGGTCCCTGCTGTAGCCTGCCAGCGCCCTCCTCTTCGTGTGCCCTCCCCGTGCCGTGGGATTGTCGCCACCGCTGAGGGGAGTGCCGATCTCGCCACGGTCACTCTCTGGGCCGCTGCTGTGCCGCCTGCTGCTGGTGCCTGGGTCGTGTTGGCTGCTGCCTGCGTGGCCCTTGCTCCGGTCGTTGCTGCTGTAGTCATTGCTGTCGGTGCTGCTGCTGCACTGGCTGCTGCTGGTGCCGCAGCTGTGTTAGCTGCTGCTGGTGTAGCTGCTGCCCCGGCCGCTGCTAGGGTGGCTGTTGCACTAGCCGTTGCTGGTTGTGTCCCTGCAGCGGCTACTGCTGTAGTCACTGCTGCATCTGTAGCAACCGTTGGCCTGCCGCCAGCCCTTACTGCCGCCTGCCCCCCACCCTCTCCCGTTTCCTCTCCACTCCCTGCTGCTGCTGAGGCAGCCGCCGTACCTCCCGTGGCTCCCTCTGCCCCCGTTTTGGCGGTTTGCTGGTCGGTAGCTTTGGTACGGTTTCTCTTCTTCCTTGCTTCTCGTTGGCGTCGGCGCCTCCTCTGCCGTGCGGACTGCCCTGAGTCTGGTTCACCCTTGCTGTCTGGCTGGCGGTCCTCCAGGGCCTTAAGTCGCTGCTGCAGGGGTTCCAGGCCCTTGTTCATCACTACCTGCACCAGCTCCAGTAGGCTCGTTGAGGGGCTGGTTTGAATGTCTTCCAGCCGTGCCTGTTCAGCCTGCGCTCTCTCTCTCTTTGCTGCCACCTTAGCCCTTGCTCCGCGGCTGTCCTGTACCCACACCGCATGGAACATTAGCTCCCTAGCTATGCCCCGTGCGAGGTAGTCGGCAGCCAGCTCCTCCAGGTAGCCGTCGGCAGCAGGGGTACCGGCTGCAGATCGACGCTCGAAGGCCTCTAGAATTTTCTCGAGGAACCCTTCAAAGTGCGTGTGTGTTCTCGGCTCCCAGATTCCTGCTGCCCTCTCCCAAAAAGCTTTCTCTTTCTCCTTATAAACTAGCAGCGTCGCCTGGGCTTTGGTCTTGAAGGTTTTAACCTCCTCTCCAAGCGCGTGATTCAGCTGCTCCTGTAACACAAGTTCGGTTAGCTGAAGCTTAGGGGTGGAGAAGCGTAGAGCGTGAGAGACCTCTCCCTTCCGGAGCTGCTGCTGAAGCTCCCCGAGGCCCGTTGCCACTTTGCTGAAGGTGCGGAGGCATTTTCTGAATGAGATCAACTCTTCCTCGAGTATCTTGCTCATGACTGTAGGCATGGTAGTGAAGTGTGTGGATGCGGGAGGTTCTGGTGGTTTTTTGTCTAACAGTAACGGCTGCATGTTGTCAATGAGCTGGAACCAGACGGCAGGGAGGTCCTCGCCTTCCGGTAGCCTGTTCGCTGCTTCCAGCCCCCTCATACCGAGTTCCTCTCCTTTCATAATGGCAGCTGCCGCCCTGCCGATGTCCTTGTGGGTCAGCCTTACTTGCTCAAAGTTCGGCTGGCTCATTGGGCTCGTCGGTGGCTCTGCCTCGTCATCCCTAAAGGGGGCTAGCTCAGACGGGCATCGGATGATGATAGGTGCCTCCTCACTGTTGTCATGCCGCTGAGGCGGCTGCTGCTGCTGCTGCTGCCGCTGCTGCTGCCGCTGCTGTTGTTGCTGGTTCGGCTCCTGTTGCTCACACTCCTGCTGTTGGTGCTGCTGCTGCTGCTCCTGCTGCTGCTCCTGCTGTTGCTGCAGCTGCTGCTGCTGCTTGCTGCTGCTGCTGCTGCTGCTGCTGCTGCTGCTGCTGCTGCTGCTGCTGGCTGCTGCTGCTGATGTTGCTGCTGCTGCTGCCGCTGTTGTTGATGTTGTTGCTGCTGCTGCTGCTGCAGCTGTTGCTGTAGCTGCTGCTGCTGTTGCTGTTGTTGCCGCTGCTGCATCTGCTGCTGCTGCTGTTGTTGCTGTAGCTGTTCTTGCTCCTGTTGCAGGTGTCCTAGTTCCTGCTGCTCCCCCGCCTGCTTGTGTTGCTGCTGTTGCTGGAACTGTCGCTGCTGCTGCTGCTGCTGCTGCTGCTGCTGCTGCTGCTGCTGCTGCTGCTGTTGTTGCTGCTGCTGCTGCTGCCGCTGCAGTTGTTCCTGGTCTTGTTGCAGCAGTATTTGTTCCCGCTGTCCTTCCGCCTGCCTTGGCTGCTGCTGCTGCTGCTGCTGCTGCTGCTGCTGCTGCTGCTGCTGCTGCTGCTGCTGCTGCTGCTGCTGCTGCTGCTGCTGCTGCTGCTGCTGCTGCTGCTGCTGCTGCTGCTGCTGCTGCTGCTGCTGCTGCTGCTGCTGCTGCTGTTGCTGCTGCTCCTCCTGATTTTGTTCCTGCTGCTGTTGCTGCTGATCCTGCTGCTCCTGTGGTTGTTGTTCGTGTGGTTGTTGCTGCGGTCGTTGTGTCTGTTGTTGCTGCTGATGGTGGCTTTGTCTGAGGGTCATCGAATCAGTAGGTGCCAGAGTGGGTGCTGTTCTTTCAGAGGGCTGTTCTTCTGTGCTTTGGCAGGCAAGTAGGAGGTCATTAACGAGGCTGCTTGTGACAACGAATACCTCTCCCAATTTCATCGAGGTCGGCTCCAGCGGTCCTGCTCTAACTTCTCTAGCACTCACCCTTGTTACAGTGGGGTGTTCTGCCGCACGTGTAGCAGTTCCGGTGTTGGTCCCTGCTGCCTTGCCTCCCTCCTCCCTGTTCCTTTTGGCGTTTATTGCTGCTGATATAGGTGCTACAGTTCTCTGTGCTGGGCCGGCTGCATATGTCCCCGTCACCACTTCCCTATCTTTACCCCCTCTGCCCCTCAGTGCTGCAGCTGCAGCGGGGCGCTGTTCATTCCGTGCTTCCCCTGCCGCATCCGTACCCGTATCCCCCGCCCCCTTCAAACCTCCCCTACCGTCGTTCCCAGCCGTCTGCACGAGTAGGCTGCTTGTGCTTCCCACCTGTTGCATTCCCGGCATCGGGCTGAAGGGTAGGGTTGTCGCCGGAGCCTCTGGGCACGGCGATGGGGCAGTAGGAGTCGGTGCATGGGCGAGTGGAGATGCCGATGCTGGATGTGATTCTTTTGGAGGGGAGCTTGCTGAGGAGATTACATTGAGAACAGCCGTAGCTCCTCTGATAGTCTCGGTGACAAGGGCCTGTAGCCAGCCTTCCTGTGTACCCTGCTCCACGCTCTTGTTCGGCTCAGTTTGGGCTGTTGAGGCGGGATTAGAAGTAGGAGCGGCGGTTGGTGGTCGTATTTGTAGCTGGGCTGTAGGTTGTGGCGGCGCTGTGGTCACTTGCAGATTGGCCTGCAGTTGCTCGGACTGCTGCCTTCCCGTTAGTGTCTGTGAGCTGGTAGGTGGTGGCTGAGTTGGCGGCGGTTTGGTTGACTGGGTGCCTGGGGTGTCGGGCCGTTTGTAGCTGAAAGTGAGAGTGCCAACCCCTCTGGTGGCCTTTACTGGCGCGGTTTTTGGTGATGCCAAGGTCGCTGCGCCTGCAGGCTCCTCGTCCGAGTGGGACGCCCCTGCTGCTGGTGCGGTTGACGGTGCCGCAGTCACTGTCGTCGCCGCTGCAGGTGTTACTGCTGCTGCTGCCTGTGTGATTCTACCTGCAGCTGCGCTGTCCGTGTTCATTGGCGTCACAGCGGTTCCAGGTGAAGGTGCCGTTGCTGCAGTGGCGTCACGAGCGTGTGTGCCTGCTTCCCCGCCAAGTTTCCCTCCCAACAGTCCCTCAGCCGCGCCCAGGTCCCTCTGGCCTGTGTCGTTCGTGCCTGACGGCCTTGGCGCATCTGGTGGCGCTGCTGCAGGTGTTGCTATGGCTGAAGGCGCTGGCGTGATAGTAGCGCCATTTCTGCTCGCCGGCGTGTGCGCACCTGCTCCGCTGCCTATCTCTCCGTCAAATCCCTCTCCTGATGCCGTCCAGCCGTCACCCCCAGCTCCTGAGTCGTGTGAGCGCTCAGAAGCTGCGAATTCTGCTTCTTCCATTCTCTCCTGCCGCCCCTCCAAATTCCCCTCCACAGCTTCCCCCTCGCTGTTCGTGAGCTGCGCTTGCCTGGCGCGCAGCAGGTCCCGTGTCAGCGTCGCAGTGAAAGCGGCGCCAAGGCGCCTCCTGACCGTTTTCAGTGGGGAATGCAGTGGGCGGCCTTGGCGTGTGTTTGATCGCGTGCCTAGGTAAACCGCGGTCATACTAGTTGCCGGCCTCCGGTTTCTTCGCTCGATTTGCTGTTCTTCGAGCGGCGTAGTTTAGGGTTTATTTAAAATAAAAAAACCTAGCTGCAGCAACTAGCTTGGCCGCGCCAGAGCTGGCGCGGCTCGAGTTTCCTAAGTAGCGCGAAGTAGGGAGCGTGAGGAGGAGGTGGGTGTCGAGGGGAATTAGAGGGAGGGCTGGGGTGGGTCTCGATGTTGAAAAAAAAAAAAAAAAAAAAAAAAAAAAAAAAAAAAAAACAAAAAAAAAACAAACAAAAGGCCCCCCCGAAGCGCGCGCGCTGAAATGCGCGCTTCGGGTGGTCAAGATTGAGAAATGGGGGGCGAAAAAAACTAAGTTTGACTTGGCGAGAAAAAAATCCTCGCCAAGGAGAGACTCGCCAGTCGAAGCTGCGGGTGCGGTTAAGTGCGGTGACGCGACTATGGTCGCGAATTTCTCCGTGAGATAGGCGATTAAAGTCCTATTTCTAACCTTTCTTTCCGTTTTCAAGCTAAGAAATCGCTCTAGGGCTGTTAAAAAAAACGAGGCAAATGCATTTCGGCCAGGTGATGGCCATCCTCAGTGCTAACAGCATCTAGAGTGGCGAGATCAAACCTAAAAGGGGAAGAGAGGCTTGTGAGAGAAGGCCCCATCCCCTGTAGTAGCACCCAACAGAAAGTGTACAACACCTAAAACTAATCTAAACATTTATAAAAATGACATATTCATCTATATAAATATTTAGGTAGTTCTTCGGCGCCGCTGGGAAATAAAAATATATTTCCTTTGTTCCTGTAGCGTGCTCTTGGGGAGCTGGGTCCTGCGGGGTGGTGAAATACATGCAACGAATATGGCGGACGGCGTGGAAAGCACTAGGCAAGGAAAAACAGGAGGTAATCGCAGGGTGAAGATAGATATGCGTGGCTTATCATTTTTGAATGAATGTAAACCCGCCCAGGCAACCGGCATACTGTAGGCGTTCTGTCGTGAAAGTGCTATTCCCGTGCATTGCTGTGCTTGTGCGCCAGCGTGTCTACTTGTGTGATGCGTCGTGCTGGGGAATGCGCAGTGTTGGACATGCGATGCATATGAAGCAGTATGTGGCTATCAGCGCGAGAGCGGTGTTGCGGTCTGTGCACTCGTGCATAGGGGATGTGGGGGGTGTGATGTGTTATGTGTGTTTGGTGTGGAAGTATGCGTGAGAAGAGAAGAGGAGTGGGGATTTGGGGACAAAGGGGCAGAAGGAGGGATGAGACAAAGAGATAAGTGATGAGACTGCTGTTGGTTCTTGATTGGAGCTGCAGGGGCAGGTGGAGGGGGTGAGACGTAGGGATGGTGAGATTATTTTTAGAGGGAAGTGGGGAGCGCATAGCGTGGGGGGGAGAGGGAGGGGTGCCTGGTGGAGAGAAGCGGGGGGGGTTTTCGGGGGGGGCGCAGCCCCCCCCCGATTGTTTGAAATGCAGTGTGAGAGAACAACATCAGGGGAAAGCCACGAACAGGGGCGAGCGCAGCAACGCTATGCGACAGAGTCCATTGGGGTCGTTCATGTGGCACTACACTCGGAAGTATCTCGAGCGTCGGCACTCGTGAACGCAGCTCGGACAAGCATATTCCTTAGCTTAGGTGCTGCACGGAAGCTGAGGAAAGGCTGTCTCGGGCAGAGCGTCTCTAGGGTTGCCTTACTCGTCTCGGACCGGAGTAGGGACCTCACCTGTGGGTGCTCGAGACTAGGGTGGTACTCGAGCACAAAAGGCAGTACTCTGCCGTCACGGTGCTTACCCTTCTCTGATCGTTGCAGGAGTGTTTCCCTGTCGCTGTACTGTACCTCGTCAAAAATTTGCTGGATGAAGTTCGAGTCGTAGCCGCGTGCTCGTAGACGCACTGCGAAAGAGGATTTCATCTGTTGGAAGCCCTCCTCTGACGACTCCCGCAGGAGGTAGCGGTACAGCTCACCAATGATGAATCCTCGTTTGCAGTGTCGCGGGTGTGCCGATCGGAAAGGGAAGTACTGATAGACGTTCAGCGGTTTCTGGTACACTGAGGTGTCCAGAAAACCGCCTCTCACGTCTTCCTTTCTCGTTGCTTCCCAAAGCTTACCTTTGCTGAAGGTGATGTCGAGTAGCGTAAACGATGTGGCACTGACCTCGGTGGTGATGCGAATGCCGTCCATGAGGCTGTTGTAACCCTCTATCCATTGGTGTAGTTCTCCTAGCGATCCGGTCCAGACTACCAATCCGTCGTCGATGTAGCGTCTGTGCAGTAGCACATGCCCTGACAGGGATGGGTGTAGTTCCTCCATGCGAGCGTCTAGCCAGCTCATAAAAAGAACTGCATAGATCACAGCAACCGGAGTACCCATGGCTGTACCTCGGATCTGTCGGTAGAACTTCCCATCGAATTGTAGGTGATTTTGTGTCATGACTAGCTCCAGCAGCTCACAGCACGCACTGAGCTGCTTGGCGGTACCCATCTCCGGCCAAACTGGGTAGCTGTGGACGTGTACGAATCTGTCTTTTGTTTCTCGGATGGCGGCCAAGCCTTGCTGGAGCGGGATCGACGGGTAGAGGCTCTCCACGTCGTACGTGAGGAAGATGGCATGCTCGGGTATGGGGAGGGCACGAAGTGTGTGTAGTAGGGTGATTGAGTCTGGTAGATGGGCTGGTGCCAGGGCCAACAACGGGCGCAGGTAGTGATCGAGCACCTGGCTGGCGTGCTCAAAGATCCAAAGGGTAGATGAGCAAATCGGTCTCCCCTTGACAGGGTCTTTATGCAGTTTAGGCAGCAGGTAGAATCTGCACACCCGAAACTGCTCAGGGTGTATGTCCGTGTGATCCTCACAGTCTGCTTCTGTGCGTCGCTCAAACCCTTGGTTGCAGGATGTACTCGATGGTTTCCTTAGGAAACCTATCCTTGTACCTCGAGCACCAAGTGTTGAGGTCCCTGCACAGGTCGTCCATGGGTACCGCTGCGACCTCTCTGTAGGTTTTGGTGTCGGATAACTGCCTGAGTGCCTCTGCTCGATACCACGAGGTATCTAGGAGGGCGAGTCCTAGATTCTTATCAGCTGGCTTTACCACCACCTCTTTATTCTTACCCAACTTTTTTAGGCACCGTAACGTTTGCTCACTCATGTTCCTGCGTGCGTTGCGCGTCATTAGTGGGAGGCGTTCGGTAACGTTCCTTCCCACCTCAGCGATGTATCGCTCTACAGGGGGGGGGAGCAGGGTTGGGCATCCAGGATGGGTTGCGAATACGAAAGCGTGGGGCTGGCCTGTCAGACGCGAACTGTGCGGTAAGTCTCACTGCTCTCGTGAATCTCGAGAGGGCGCTCATAACTGTTTGTTCTGTGGGGGGTGATGGGGTTGGGATGAAAGAGAGTCCTAGGCTTAGCCCCTCGAGCTCTGTGCGCGAGAGGGTGAGTGCGGATCTGTTGTGAATGAATTTAGAGTTTAGTTCGTCCTGTAGCATAATCTGCGGTGTTCGAAGGAGGCGTTTTTGGGTTGGGGTCAGCAGGGTCGAGGTGTGCTTGCGTCTAGGCCTCGAGCGGGGTCGTTTATATGGACTGGTTCTTACTCACCTGCTGGTTGGGGCTATTTGCTGCCCCTGCAGAATATGTTGTGGAGGGCAGGGTGTTAGAGGTAGTGACGCCAGAGGATGTACCCTGAGAGATGCTGTGCTGGTTTGTTGTGCGTGGTGATTTTGGGGTTGGGTCGGTTTGTCGGTGGGGGGGTGTGCGGTGGTATTTCTACCTGGTTGTGCTGTGCATTTGAGGTAGGTTGGGTCATGCGGGCGTACCTTTGGTGAGGGTAGCTGGGCGTTGATGTGCGTAGACGTGTTGCTTGTTGCATGTTGTTCTGTGAGGGGTGGGGGGGGGGTCGCTAGTTTAAAAAATACATTGGTAGGGTATGGGGAACAGAGGTGTTGTTGGGAGTAGAGAGTGCCCCCACAACCTGGGGCGGTCCAGCTCTCCCTGTCGCTTGGGTTGCTTGAAGTCCTTGGGTGACCTGCTGGATAGGGGGGGCGTAAGGCATGTATGCGAATGTCTGTGGTGCGGGTGTTGATGACATGACCGATATGTTCGAGAGTGCCGGCTGCGTTGGTGCCTGTGGGGGCAGAGAGGGGATGAAATTCTGAGAGAAGAAGAGGGGTTGCGTGTGGGGCAGGATGTGGCTGCCACTTGCAAAGGTGGGGTGCTGGGGTGTGAAGGGGTATGGGTGGTACATGTTGTGCGGTGCTGGGGCTGCCATGACGGTGTATGCGGGGAATGTTGCTGGCGTGAATGCTTGCGGCGCTTGTTGGGCAGGGGTGTTAACTTGTTGTGCGACTTGTGTCTGTGCTTCTAGTGCGTGGTTACCCGTGTCATTCGTCTGCTGTGCTGTGCGTTCGGTTGCATGTTCGGTGTCCGGTGGCTGTTCGGTCTGTGCTGGCTGCCCTTGACCCAACTGTGTGCTTCCCGGCAGTTCCAACTGCGTGTCCCTCCGTTGCTCTGTCCCTTCCCTTCGTCCCCCCTGTTGCGCTCGTGCCGATGCCCTCTGTGCTGTGTTCGTATCTGCGCGTGCTGCTGGCCGTCCGTATTGCGCTGGGAGCTGTGGTGCAATGTGGAGTGCGTACTGTTGCTGCCACGGTGTCGGTTGTGCGGTGTGGGCTGTTCCCCAGTGAAGCTGCCTGGGCAGGTTTACCTTTAGCCCACGCATAGCTACCTTCACCGCTGCAGCAGTCTTGGCGAGTGCTGCAGACGGCTGCGAGGTCCCTGCTGTAGCCTGCCAGCGCCCTCCTCTTCGTGTGCCCTCCCCGTGCCGTGGGATTGTCGCCACCGCTGAGGGGAGTGCCGATCTCGCCACGGTCACTCTCTGGGCCGCTGCTGTGCCGCCTGCTGCTGGTGCCTGGGTCGTGTTGGCTGCTGCCTGCGTGGCCCTTGCTCCGGTCGTTGCTGCTGTAGTCATTGCTGTCGGTGCTGCTGCTGCACTGGCTGCTGCTGGTGCCGCAGCTGTGTTAGCTGCTGCTGGTGTAGCTGCTGCCCCGGCCGCTGCTAGGGTGGCTGTTGCACTAGCCGTTGCTGGTTGTGTCCCTGCAGCGGCTACTGCTGTAGTCACTGCTGCATCTGTAGCAACCGTTGGCCTGCCGCCAGCCCTTACTGCCGCCTGCCCCCCACCCTCTCCCGTTTCCTCTCCACTCCCTGCTGCTGCTGAGGCAGCCGCCGTACCTCCCGTGGCTCCCTCTGCCCCCGTTTTGGCGGTTTGCTGGTCGGTAGCTTTGGTACGGTTTCTCTTCTTCCTTGCTTCTCGTTGGCGTCGGCGCCTCCTCTGCCGTGCGGACTGCCCTGAGTCTGGTTCACCCTTGCTGTCTGGCTGGCGGTCCTCCAGGGCCTTAAGTCGCTGCTGCAGGGGTTCCAGGCCCTTGTTCATCACTACCTGCACCAGCTCCAGTAGGCTCGTTGAGGGGCTGGTTTGAATGTCTTCCAGCCGTGCCTGTTCAGCCTGCGCTCTCTCTCTCTTTGCTGCCACCTTAGCCCTTGCTCCGCGGCTGTCCTGTACCCACACCGCATGGAACATTAGCTCCCTAGCTATGCCCCGTGCGAGGTAGTCGGCAGCCAGCTCCTCCAGGTAGCCGTCGGCAGCAGGGGTACCGGCTGCAGATCGACGCTCGAAGGCCTCTAGAATTTTCTCGAGGAACCCTTCAAAGTGCGTGTGTGTTCTCGGCTCCCAGATTCCTGCTGCCCTCTCCCAAAAAGCTTTCTCTTTCTCCTTATAAACTAGCAGCGTCGCCTGGGCTTTGGTCTTGAAGGTTTTAACCTCCTCTCCAAGCGCGTGATTCAGCTGCTCCTGTAACACAAGTTCGGTTAGCTGAAGCTTAGGGGTGGAGAAGCGTAGAGCGTGAGAGACCTCTCCCTTCCGGAGCTGCTGCTGAAGCTCCCCGAGGCCCGTTGCCACTTTGCTGAAGGTGCGGAGGCATTTTCTGAATGAGATCAACTCTTCCTCGAGTATCTTGCTCATGACTGTAGGCATGGTAGTGAAGTGTGTGGATGCGGGAGGTTCTGGTGGTTTTTTGTCTAACAGTAACGGCTGCATGTTGTCAATGAGCTGGAACCAGACGGCAGGGAGGTCCTCGCCTTCCGGTAGCCTGTTCGCTGCTTCCAGCCCCCTCATACCGAGTTCCTCTCCTTTCATAATGGCAGCTGCCGCCCTGCCGATGTCCTTGTGGGTCAGCCTTACTTGCTCAAAGTTCGGCTGGCTCATTGGGCTCGTCGGTGGCTCTGCCTCGTCATCCCTAAAGGGGGCTAGCTCAGACGGGCATCGGATGATGATAGGTGCCTCCTCACTGTTGTCATGCCGCTGAGGCGGCTGCTGCTGCTGCTGCTGCCGCTGCTGCTGCCGCTGCTGTTGTTGCTGGTTCGGCTCCTGTTGCTCACACTCCTGCTGTTGGTGCTGCTGCTGCTGCTGCTCCTGCTGCTGCTCCTGCTGTTGCTGCAGCTGCTGCTGCTGCTGCTGCTGCTGCTGCTGCTGCTGCTGCTGCTGCTGCTGCTGCTGCTGCTGCTGCTGCTGCTGCTGCTGATGTTGCTGCTGCTGCTGCCGCTGTTGTTGATGTTGTTGCTGCTGCTGCTGGCTGCAGCTGTTGCTGTAGCTGCTGCTGCTGTTGCTGTTGTTGCCGCTGCTGCATCTGCTGCTGCTGCTGTTGTTGCTGTAGCTGTTCTTGCTCCTGTTGCAGGTGTCCTAGTTCCTGCTGCTCCCCCCGCCTGCTTGTGTTGCTGCTGTTGCTGGAACTGTCGCTGCTGCTGCTGCTGCTGCTGCTGCTGCTGCTGCTGCTGCTGCTGCTGTTGTTGCTGCTGCTGCTGCTGCCGCTGCAGTTGTTCCTGGTCTTGTTGCAGCAGTATTGTTCCCGCTGTCCTTCCGCCTGCCTTGGCTGCTTGCTGCTGCTGCTGCTGCTGCTGCTGCTGCTGCTGCTGCTGCTGCTGCTGCTGCTGCTGCTGTCGCTGCTGCTGCTGCTGCTGCTGCTGCTGCTGCTGCTGCTGCTGCTGCTGCTGCTGCTGCTGCTGCTGCTGCTGCTGCTGCTGCTGTTGCTGCTGCTCCTCCTGATTTTGTTCCTGCTGCTGTTGCTGCTGATCCTGCTGCTCCTGTGGTTGTTGTTCGTGTGGTTGTTGCTGCGGTCGTTGTGTCTGTTGTTGCTGCTGATGGTGGCTTTGTCTGAGGGTCATCGAATCAGTAGGTGCCAGAGTGGGTGCTGTTCTTTCAGAGGGCTGTTCTTCTGTGCTTTGGCAGGCAAGTAGGAGGTCATTAACGAGGCTGCTTGTGACAACGAATACCTCTCCCAATTTCATCGAGGTCGGCTCCAGCGGTCCTGCTCTAACTTCTCTAGCACTCACCCTTGTTACAGTGGGGTGTTCTGCCGCACGTGTAGCAGTTCCGGTGTTGGTCCCTGCTGCCTTGCCTCCCTCCTCCCTGTTCCTTTTGGCGTTTATTGCTGCTGATATAGGTGCTACAGTTCTCTGTGCTGGCCGGCTGCATATGTCCCCGTCACCACTTCCCTATCTTTACCCCCTCTGCCCCTCAGTGCTGCAGCTGCAGCGGGGCGCTGTTCATTCCGTGCTTCCCCTGCCGCATCCGTACCCGTATCCCCCGCCCCCTTCAAACCTCCCCTACCGTCGTTCCCAGCCGTCTGCACGAGTAGGCTGCTTGTGCTTCCCACCTGTTGCATTCCCGGCATCGGGCTGAAGGGTAGGGTTGTCGCCGGAGCCTCTGGGCACGGCGATGGGGCAGTAGGAGTCGGTGCATGGGCGAGTGGAGATGCCGATGCTGGATGTGATTCTTTTGGAGGGGAGCTTGCTGAGGAGATTACATTGAGAACAGCCGTAGCTCCTCTGATAGTCTCGGTGACAAGGGCCTGTAGCCAGCCTTCCTGTGTACCCTGCTCCACGCTCTTGTTCGGCTCAGTTTGGGCTGTTGAGGCGGGATTAGAAGTAGGAGCGGCGGTTGGTGGTCGTATTTGTAGCTGGGCTGTAGGTTGTGGCGGCGCTGTGGTCACTTGCAGATTGGCCTGCAGTTGCTCGGACTGCTGCCTTCCCGTTAGTGTCTGTGAGCTGGTAGGTGGTGGCTGAGTTGGCGGCGGTTTGGTTGACTGGGTGCCTGGGGTGTCGGGCCGTTTGTAGCTGAAAGTGAGAGTGCCAACCCCTCTGGTGGCCTTTACTGGCGCGGTTTTTGGTGATGCCAAGGTCGCTGCGCCTGCAGGCTCCTCGTCCGAGTGGGACGCCCCTGCTGCTGGTGCGGTTGACGGTGCCGCAGTCACTGTCGTCGCCGCTGCAGGTGTTACTGCTGCTGCTGCCTGTGTGATTCTACCTGCAGCTGCGCTGTCCGTGTTCATTGGCGTCACAGCGGTTCCAGGTGAAGGTGCCGTTGCTGCAGTGGCGTCACGAGCGTGTGTGCCTGCTTCCCCGCCAAGTTTCCCTCCCAACAGTCCCTCAGCCGCGCCCAGGTCCCTCTGGCCTGTGTCGTTCGTGCCTGACGGCCTTGGCGCATCTGGTGGCGCTGCTGCAGGTGTTGCTATGGCTGAAGGCGCTGGCGTGATAGTAGCGCCATTTCTGCTCGCCGGCGTGTGCGCACCTGCTCCGCTGCCTATCTCTCCGTCAAATCCCTCTCCTGATGCCGTCCAGCCGTCACCCCCAGCTCCTGAGTCGTGTGAGCGCTCAGAAGCTGCGAATTCTGCTTCTTCCATTCTCTCCTGCCGCCCCTCCAAATTCCCCTCCACAGCTTCCCCCTCGCTGTTCGTGAGCTGCGCTTGCCTGGCGCGCAGCAGGTCCCGTGTCAGCGTCGCAGTGAAAGCGGCGCCAAGGCGCCTCCTGACCGTTTTCAGTGGGGAATGCAGTGGGCGGCCTTGGCGTGTGTTTGATCGCGTGCCTAGGTAAACCGCGGTCATACTAGTTGCCGGCCTCCGGTTTCTTCGCTCGATTGCTGTTCTTCGAGCGCGTAGTTTAGGGTTATTTAAAATAAAAAAAACCTAGCTGCAGCAACTAGCTTGGCCGCGCCAGAGCTGGCGCGGCTCGAGTTTCCTAAGTAGCGCGAAGTAGGGAGCGTGAGGAGGAGGTGGGTGTCGAGGGGAATTAGAGGGAGGGCTGGGGTGGGTCTCGATGTTGAAAAAAAAAAAAAAAAAAAAAAAAAAAAAAAAAAAAAAAACAAAAAAAAAAACAAACAAAAGGCCCCCCCGAAGCGGCGCGCGCCTGAAATGCGCGCTTCGGGTGGTCAA